CCCAGCTTTTCTTAGAAAACCCTGAGGAGAGTATGACACGCAATCCCGCAGGCAGCTCAGACCAATTAAGATTGTCCTCCTGCTACCCCACTCGTCAGGTGGGGGACGATTAAGCAACCTACCGTTCTCTCACTAATAGAGGGAGGGGCTGAAGGAGGATGCCATACACAGACGTCCCTCATGTCATCTGCACAGATGCAACCCGATGGAATCAAAGCGAAGAGCTCCATTAAGCTGTTTAGGAGAAGAAGATGCAATCGCTGGAAAAAGTTTGGCCGCAGTGGTTTCGGCCATTCTGCCATCTCAAAATTCCCAATGACCAATACGGCAGATATGAGAACAGTTATGAAAGGCTGAGTTGTGAGTCCATAAGCGTTAATCTTCGCCGTCCTCAGAGAATTTTTTCCCTCTTTCAAGGGTTAAGGGTCAGGTTTGTGGGTTAGGTGTTAAGGTTGGGGTCGGGGTTAGGCGTTGGGGTTAGGGTTAGAGGTTAGGAGTCAGAGGTTAAGAATAGAATAGAATAGAATAGGTTTATTGTAGCGCCCCTTGGGCACTGTCAGTCCCCTTTGAACTTAGGAAAAAAACCTAAAACAAACTCGTCAATTTCAACTGCACTTTGACTTCATTTGCTTCGGGTGTCTGGTTAGCCAAAAGAGCGTGAATTAAGAGTTTGTTTTAAGTTAAAAAAAACCTCAGTTCTAAGGGAAAATAATAACTAAATTTTCAAAAATAACGATATTTACAATATAAAAATTAAGGTTTGCAGGCTGGTAGTTTTCGGGGGCATGAATAATATGTCCTTCATGGCAATTGAAGAACTTTGATATCGGCCTGACCTTGAAATTATTTTCCTGTTGGGTAAATTTCGGTGTGCTCTAGTTGCTGGTTGTCAGTCTATCTGGCCAGCTGTAAGGGGGCGGTCGCACAGTTCCTACGTGTTTTTCAGGAGGCTTACCATCGTTGTCTGGACCAAGAGCTGGAAAAGATTAATATATATCAGGAGTAAGAAGCATTCAATGGCAAGTCACAATCAAAACTGTCAAAATACTATTGAATCATGTATCATATTGTTCTTGTTAATGTGAAATTATAGGAGTAGTGGTCGACTGTTTACTACGACCTAATATAGTTCTATATATGTTTAATATGGCTTTAATATAGACATACGCACGACTAATATGCAGGGTTTTATCGAAGGGTATATTTTTATTAGCTTTATAAGGGATATTTAGTGTCAGGTGACATAGCTGATGAAAGCGAGAAAGGGAGTTTAGGTTTGGTGGTTAGGCTGCGGCTTGTCTACTGCAGGTACGGTTAAGAAATAAGACCCGAGCGGGGTTTTTTCTGAACGTGCTTACCATGATGAATTTAGCTCTACTGATAATTGTTTGGTGGCCTCATGAAGATCTGCCTCAACGGTTGGGCGCGAAAGGGCAGTATACAGCTCCGCTGGTCATCGGAGAGATCGAAATCGTCCGATCGGAATTTTGTTAAAGGACGCCGGCACTTGCAGACATTTAAAGCATTTGGACAAACACCACAAATTGTTTTGATGACTGCTGTTCTCTGCTTCCCCAGTGGGATTTATTTACTACACAACGATGAAAATGACTGACTTCAGCTTTCATGTCTTTCGCTTTCTTAGGTTCAAATTAGAATTCAAAAATTACATTAAAATCTAAGAACAAGACCCATCTTGTTTGCGAAGACACATTATTCAAATGGAGCAGACATAAGAGCGTAATAAATTATATTCAATTAAAGCCAAAAAGACCCACACTACATCTCGGTATCCATAATACCAAATGGTGTGATTGCATGGTCTGTCGTAATGTGTTCGTGGAATTGTCAATATGGCCATCAGCGTTCGATGAAAACTCCTTCTTTGATGTGTAGATATGAACGTCTGTGTGTGATCCATCAAGCCTGTGGAGTCTTGAAGGACTAACTTCAAAGCTCTGTCGGGGACGATTACGCAACATACCGTTTACTCATTAATTGAGGGAGGAGCTGGAAAAGGATGCCAGCGATCGCATCTTCTTCTTTCGAACAGTTCAGCTCGCCGCAGCGGTTTCACCCATTTTGCCAACTTAAAATGCCTTTTATCTCCTGGACAGCTCAGTGGCCAATGCAGCAGACTTAAGAACATTTATGGAGGTCTGAGTAGTGAATACATAAGCGTTAATCCTCATCGTCCTCAGAGAAAGTTTTCCTCTGTCAAGAGCATTTGAATTGACTGGGAGAAAATCACTGTTCTTCTGGAGCGTCCATCCTAAGGAAGGACGCCGAGGGGCTCAAATAGATGAAAGGGCAAAATCCACTGCCCCCTCGTCTCTCGCAAATTGAACGTCATGCAAATTTGATAAGAAGTACTCTGTCGAGTGGATAAACGTTTCAGAGTCCCTGGTACATCGTGTGTGGTGCGCCTTAGACGTTGGTCTTCGCGACGTGTCAGCCAATTCACCAAATTCCACTACTAGCTGATTGACAAGCTGGAACAGTCGGTCAGATATGGTTATGTGGCCGCAGCTGAGATAAAAAAAACCCCCAGCCACCTGTAATACGGGACCGATGGTAATATGTCTTTTTACAGATGGGGCCGGGGAACGCACAGGCGACGAGGTCAAGTAATTGTATGCAAAAAGAAAAACTATTGGGCATGCATAGTTGTACTCTGAGTGGCTGGAGAATAATTGCCCTAAGTCCTTACCCTAACCCCCAATCCTGACCCTAAGCCCTATCCGCCGACCCTAGCCCTATCCTTAGCCCTATCCCCCAACCCTAACACTTTAACCCTAGCCCTAATCCTTAACCGCAGCCCTAAACCCTCACCTTGAAACATCTAACTCGAAAGTTAGAAGGAGAGGACAGGCCGAAAGTCAAGAAGGACCACCGGCATTTGGCCAAGAAGGGTAGACACGGCAACAAAGGAACAAGGCCGCCAAGAGAACAGACACCGCAACGCACAGCAACGCCATGTCAGCGTAATCACACCAACTCAAAGTAATTAAGTAGGTGAACAGTATAGTGTCCATCAGGTGCGGCTTCATAACCACATCTTACCAAACAGTCAACTGGTGAATAAGATTGCAATTATAGAATGAGGCCGACACAGGGAGCTTTATCGATTCCACAAAAAGTCAGGTTGGTTGGGAGGAGAGAGTGCGCTAAGGGCTGCGCTGGTCTACGACACGATAGAATAATTCACGCGCAAGTCAACGGTGCTGCGTTTGCTCCGTCGGGTAGACAGCGGATGTCGTCGTTCGTGACCGTCGTGGGTGTTTGTGTTATCATTGAAGCCTTCGCTACCCGTGCAGCATGCCTTCAGTTGTCGACGTACAGTAGATGTGCTAACTCATGAAATGGCAACCAAAATTTCGAAATGCGTTCTCGTTTTGAAAAGATAAATTAAGTAGTGTTGTAAAACTAATCAGGATGCAGCATAAATCTATAATGATCCAGTTACCTCAGGGTGTCGGCTTTCGAAAGAACTTATTTTTGGCTGCATGCAAGATCTATACTCTGCAAAAAATGACTACTTAAGTAATATGCAATTTTCTCATTAATATTTGATGCCCTTGAAAATTCAATTATATTTCAAAGAAAACATGCATAGAAATACTCATTCTTTTACTTATTCGGTAGAAAATCACGTCTTCTTCCAATTTCATATTCAAAAGAAGAGTATAATTCAGTTTTAACAGTTTCTAATTGCGAGATTTTTAATACCGTTAAATGGCCGTTCATGAAACGTCATGTATCTGCATTTACGAATGTGGCTTGTAAAGTTAACAATATTGCTCAAATCCACTGCTTAATTTTATGAACCTCATGTAGTCTCCTCTTAACACCGTACAGGAATGCATGCAATATTGTTAACTTTACAAGCCACATTCGTAAATGCAGATACATGACGTTTCATGAACGGCCATTTAACGGTATCCAAAATCTCACAATTGGCGCACAATTTGGGGCATCGGAGTGCTGAGTGAACTGTTCGTGTCTGAATGTGTGGCCTACGCAAAAAAAAACTCGTGAAACTTTGACTGAGGTGCTCCAGCGGGCTTTCAAATGGAGTAGACTATTCAGACGAGGCTACAAAAATGAATTCCTGCATGGCAGGACGCTGGCCTTGCAATAGACGTATCAACCAGTCAACTGTTTAAATAAAGTTGGTGAAGGATAACTCATTAGGTAGCGCGTTTTGCTCGTTTATTGTCGATGCCTGCCTAGATTTAACTGTATGTTGCATAATGGGAGATTACCCACAGTATCTAGTCAATTTTATCAAATGCGTTTTCCGTCAGGATAAGGTAGTTAGGTTGGCTCGTAATATCGATTATCGTGGGACATAATCCCACATACTCCGGTCACGCCAGGATGTCGACATTTAAATTAATTTCTTTCCAGCCGGCTGTAAAGACTACACTCTTAAAAAAGGCTGCCAAATTAGTATGAATTCTTACCCTTGATTTTCAGTACCATGAGTAAAAAATTACGTTTTCTTTAGATTTCACACTCGAAGAAAAATTGGCTTTCGGTTTCAAAAAGCCTCCTCGCCCCTCAATAAATCTGAACCCGACCTGCAGTTGCGCTTGAGCTTAGGGTGTCCGAACTGTGTACTGCATACCTTTCGTGTAAGGATTACGACGGATCCGCAAGTGACCGGCTGAGCCGATGTGCAGTGCGCATGCGTGGTGGCAGTATGCGCAGGATAGGTTATTGGTGGTGGTGATTGTGCTGCGGAAATGAGTAACACTGGTAGTGGGGTTGTTTTCGGATGTACGAGGCGAGTTTAATGCGTCAGCGTTGCGTTGAATTCCGCTGTTGTGGATGCTCATGTGACTGAGTAGGCCCAAGCGGTGACTTAATGTGCGTGGGCTGTGTGAGCGCATATTCGGCGAGTATGTGTTGGTGTTTCTTGCACTGCTTGGTCAGTCATAGTGCGATGGGCTCACAGGAGACCGATCAGGCCGATGCGTGGTGCGCAAGGTGCGATCTCAACGGGGACAGGTTAGTATCAAGATCGCATTGCTGGTGGTAGGAGCGATGGTGATTGTAATGGTGGATGGCAGGGCATCGAGAGTGTTCTCATGGGTGTTGGAATCGTTAGTGACTGTAGGTGTCGTCGCATGGGCTGCGGCAGTGATGATGGAGATGTTGACGACAGTGGCAGAAGTGGCGGCAGAGGTGGGAGTTGGTTCACCGGTAGTGGTGGTGGTGGTGGTGGTGGTGGTGGTGGTGGTGGTGGTAGCCGTCGTGAGGGTTGAGCTGTTTGCGACAGGAGGACTGTAGAGCAAGCAGTAATTAGTGATGTAGTATTGTTGTTCTTGTTCTATTGGTTCCGAAGGCGTCTGACGGGAGCGAGACGCACGCAAATGTCCGTTGACATTGGGGACACTTTGGAAGGGGTGACGCGGGGGGCTTTGAGTCCGCAACTCTGGAGACTTCGTTAGTCGTTCTTTCGGCTTTGGCGAGCGACACCCGGTTGACTTCGAAGATGGCTTTAATGCTTTCCTCCGGGCCAGTCAATCTTGGACAAGACTCTCCCAGCCCTTCGGATTTATCATTGAGCGAGGTCCGCATGGTGTCCTTGTATCGTCGTTTTTGCCGTCTTTGTCGGTTAGCGTACGCCATATACTTTAGGGTAAAGTGATTTCATACTAACAGCTCAGGTAGTAGACAACAGTCCATACACGCGTGTTTCACCGATATTCTGGCGCTGCTTGACACAGCTGCGAGGTATTCAGCTCGTCAATGGGTCCTCCAGCATTCCTTGTCTGCTTTCTGGTAGATACTCCAATTTAGAAATTGCTGCTTTTTGATTTCCTTAGAAATTAACTGCGAACTTGGAGTAGATCCGTATCTTTAAGATCTATATGCTCCGACCAGAAAGCAGACAGGAAATGGTGGGAGACCCACTTACGAGCCGAACCCCTCGCAGCTGTGTCATGCAGCGCCAGATTATCGGCAAAAAATGCGTGTATAGGTTTTTACTAATACCTGTGCTGTTAGTATGGAATCACTTTACCCAAAGTATACTACCGGCTTCCTGTCGACAGTTAATGAATATTACGTGGTTATCCGCTGTGGCTGATGGACTTGGGCTCAAATATTTATATAGTAAAACTTTGGTCTGAGTCTATAGACCTCGAATAAAGTGATCCAATCCAAGTTCGCACTTAATTTTTGAGGAAATTAAAAAGCAACACAATCTACCATGTACCAAAATAAGTAACAAAAAACCTGTCCCAGGAATTTCGAATGTCCAGAAATCTGCAAGGCCAGAAAGCCCATATTGTAGAGGAGAGAGAAGCACCGCCTTCCGTTATGTGATAACCCTGCGTTTTATTCGTATTGACCCGATAGTTCGATCGTCGTATCCGCTGCGTGTCCACTGTATGCTCCGCAGCGAGGTGGTTCAGACGCGTATCGACCCAACGGCAGAGAATACCAAGACAAAAAAACTCAGAACCTCCAGACCATTTCTGCCTTCTGATAGTTTATATTAATACATGGATTAAATAATCTAATAAGCTTGACTGCACCTGTTCCTCGCGCGAGTCAGTTCGACACTTACTACAACCACTTCCGCAATTCTTATTTTGCGGTTAGCAACCTTAACAAATGCAACAAAGCATGCTGTTTACGTTTTGTTTTCCTTAATTTTACATTTCAGTGTATTGTACAGAAAGAAGAGGTGTCTCAGAGTTTAAAATCTGCACCTAACAGTGGGAATCCCAGAAGGGCGAGGGAGTATTCGGGGTGCGATAGCAGGCTCAGCTGTCGGCTGACATCACGTCAACTAGGATCCGTGCAGCCCCCCATTGTTGTTATAGCATAAAATCCTGGTCAATTGTGTGTTCTGGACCAGGAGGTATGGTGGAACGCCCAGGTGCAGGTTTACGGCGTGCCAACCACCCGGAGTTTCGCCCACCTCCGGTTTTCCTAACTCCGGTTTGACACTGGTCCAGGTGCGGTAGATGCGACGAAAGTCTCTTGTAGCCATAAACTAATCCACAAGCAAGTTACCGTCCCTGCTCTCATTCGGCGGTGAAGCAAACGGTGGACATCGTCGAGACCGACGTTCGAGTGCCGTTTGGTTAAGTTATTCCCCTCCAGTGTCTCTAACAGTCTTCTAAACAACGACAACATCTTACTACTATTTTGAGAGGAATGTGCTGGGGTGGCACCATTCCGAGGGTGAACACTTGAGCCAAGTGGTGTTTGCTCGGGCGCAAAACTATTCACACGCAAGGGTGACATCAATTGGCACTTTGGTCTGACAAGTGAGCAAACTGCGCCCCCCCCCTTCCTCCCCCATTTTCAAGAGGTCCGTAAAGATCTTGGCTCCGCTGATGAGACGGTACTCTGATAGCTGAACCATACACCTAAAAAATTTGACGGAACGCGTCTTCGTTTTGCTGGAAAGCTGTCTTGCTTCTGCAATTGCTTTTTATCTATTCTGGTAGACTTACTTTCTGACGATAAATGTGACTGCATTGAGACAAGATTCGATACACGTCTTTGTGTCGATTGAGCTCTACGTTCATCTATGATCACTTTCGTGTCTCTTCCACAAAACTATTTAGCCGACGTATATTAGTAGTGATTTGTTTCGTCGCTCTGTCGATTTAATTTAACTACCATCCCTCACATCGTACGACTCACGAGAACTGCTGGATGCGATTGCTTAGCTGAACCCTTTTATGAAGGCAAGCGTACCAACAAAGACTAGACAGACTGGGATGACTGCTTCTGGCCTGTTAGCCGTCGTCAGCCAGGCAGACCCAATTCCAGGTTTGGATGGACCTGAAATTCTGACTGGGGGTTTATTATTCCAGCACTTTAGCATCGAGACACTGGTTCGTCGTCCAGTCTATTGTTTTTTTTTTATACATGTTACTCTTCAAACGGCTGCGTCCCTGTCTCACATGATTAAAGTGGGGTCGCACACCGGCCGACTGCGCTTAGTCCGCGCGGGTTCCTAGCTATTGGCTATTTCAATAAATGTTACGCGAAATTCTGAAATGCGCTTTCAACTCGAAAGGGTTACTTGACTGGTAATTATCGTGCAGCATAATCTCAAGATATTTCAGTCACGTCAGGATAACTGCTTTTGAGCAAGCTTCTTCCGCCCGCCTGGTTAAAGTGCATTCTGCAAAAACGACTACTCAAATAGTATGGATTTTTTCCATTGATTTTAGATACCCTTATAAATTTGAATATATTTCTTAGGAAACATGCACAGAAATATTCGTTCTTTAACTCAGTCGATACCAAATTACGCATTCTTCAAATTTTATGTTAGAAGTCAGAGAGAATCTTTTGGTCCCGGAAAGTTTCTCATTATGAGATGACTAAGATTTTGAAATAACCGTTCATTAAACATCGCGTCCCTAAATTTACTAATGTCGCTTGTAAAGTTTATAAAATGGTTCAATCCCACTAGAAGATTTTATAAACCCCATATGCTATCCTCTAAAAATCGCATATATATGTATGACTTCCCATAAAAGGAAAATATATAGATTTTAGTCGAGTGACCCTGAATGCGGGCGAAACGGCAGGTGGAGCTCAAAATTATTCGTGAATTGAAAAATCTTTTAAAACCGAGGAACGCTTTTTCTTCGGGTATGAAATGTGAAGATGTTATCTGCTACCGGACGAGTGAAATACGAAAACTTTTATACATTTTCCGATGAAATATACTTAACTCTATAATAACACCAGAAATCGGTGGGAAAATTCATGCTACTTAAGTATTCGTTTTTTGTCGAGTGTAGTTTTATGCAGGTGGCCGGAAAGAAGCTCGTTCAGAAGCCTGTAAATGAAGTTGACGTCTGAATACCACATCTCATGCGTGACCCGTTCCGTCTTTGAGCTGAATCGGGCCACCCATTTTCGGTTGTTGATTCCGAGAAGTGCACAATAATTTCATTTTTTTCATTCGGTAACTATTTACGCCTTCTTCAAATTTCATACTTGCAGGATGAGCTTCTTTTGGTTTTAAAAATGTTTCTAATAATGAGGTATTTTGAGACTGTGAAATACCCGTTCATAAAACATCGTGTGTCTACATTCACCAATGTGGCTTGTAAAGTTTACAATATGGCCCAAATTCAGAGGTAAATTTTATGAGAACATATGTTATCTTCTTAAAGACATAAAGAAGTAAGTGATTTTCCGTAAATGGAAGAAATACGGCTTGTAGTTTAGAGAACTCGAATACAAGTGAAATGGTGAGCCGAATTCAAAATTATCCGTAAACCGAAAAGTCCTTCAAAACGGAACGTTGCTCTTTGTTCAGGCATACAACCTGGAGAAAACGTAATTTGCTACCAGGTGAGTGAGGAAAACTAAAACGTTCGGCGCACCGTATGGCTTAATTTATTTTTAATAGTCACTGATACCTTGAAGAAGAGAAATAGTTCACAGAATCAGGTCTTTGTACTACTGAAATCTCGAAGAGTTCGCTCGAATCACCATCCTCAAAGAATGAAATGCGCAAGGTCAGCCAGTTTAAGATCAATTTTTCTCTCAGTTTGGTCCATTGACCTTTTAGTGGATGTTTCTGGTGGGTTCGAAAGCTACCTGTGTTGAGACAAAATCCCGGATGAGGGGAACTGTGTCTCCGTGGGAGTCGGGTGAGCCGGCGGTCGGACAGCTTGCCGTCGGTTTTCTTGAGTTCGATGTGACGGTCTTGCCCTGGTATTTGTGCACAGGACTTAATCTTTGTGTTCAGGACTTACTCAGCTCCAGGAAAGTCAGCATGTCTGTTGATTGGGTTGGCACCTGTGTACCCCACCTTAATCGTGACGCGGTATGTCCTTGAGCTTAACCGGTCCACCCTCTTTTGCGAGGAGCGTTTGGTCGGAGGAGGAATCATCTTTTTAAAATGTACATTTTTTAAAAACCGGCACGTTATGCCGGCTGGTGAAAAACTCATTGTAGCGCTCCCACCGCTAAAAGAAAAGATATGGATCTTCTTTAAGAACTCTGCATAGCCAACGGCTATCCCTAAGCAGGGGAAGTCAGCCGTTGTCGACCGAGTTCAGTGCAGCTGCGAGATCTTCAGTTATGTTGAAGGAACCGGCCGAGGACTGCAAACTCCAATTCATGAGCCCCAGCTGACCGTGTGAAGGTTGGATTCAACAACACATGCTGCGCATCCTCAAACTTCACGACATTGAGATTGTCGGTCTACGCGGTGATCATACATCAAGGCAGGTGCAAGATGCCTTGATGTCCACGGAGTGCTAAGTCAACCGCCACATCAATCTGCCTCTCCCTATCTGGTTTTACGATCCTTCTTAACTTGAGACGGTGATGGCGTGCAACAGTCGTCGCCACCAAATTCCGCCGAAAGAGAGGACGACACAGGTCATGGTGAAACAGAGGTCAGAAACAGCCCCTCAGTCGTCATTGGCCGCCTACGCACTAAGAAAAGTGTGTCACATAATGAGAGCTGTGCACAAGACTCACCAGCCTCTGAAGATGGGTAGAAGAAATCACCACTTGGAACGTCAGGTCTCAAATAAACATGCCCCCTTGAACGCCTCCTCTTCTTCTGAGACTGCAGATCTCTCCCGCCTCGGCCATGACGAGGGCGTGTCGATTAACGGTCACACCAAGAACCAACAACGGTGGTGAAATTGCGACGATTAGCAACTGGGGTGCGAAATAAAAATCCATGATCGCATGAAGTAGAACTCATTGTGCTGGTCATGTGATCACATGGCAACTGCGCCCCGTGTGCCTCCAGTACCCTTACCTGAGACCGTGCCTGATGATGGGTTAGAGTGTGAATCCGAAACGTCAGGCCAGTGAACTTCTTGTTCCAATAGTCGCATCTTCTTCTAAACTACTTTTTCGAACTCGCCTATCCGCTTCTATCGGCATAGATAGGACATTTAAACTGTTCTGATGAATTTATGCTTTAATCCGAGTACTACTGGGGAGTGCAAGAATTCACAAAAGGGGTGATAGGGCAGTGAGGAGTTTTGTTTATCTTCCCGCCGGCGCTACGGCGCCAAACCCACCCACGAGTGGCGTTCACCGACCTATCCTGAAAGCAGGGCGGAGTACGACGTAGGCTTCTCCTCCCTTGGGGTTCCAATCTAGAGTCTACGCATGCGGTTGCATAGTGACGAATGAACAGATATTAATGCCGAACATCGAGAAAGACGAGGGAGCAGGTGATGGTCGCCTAGGGGGGGGGAGGCGCGGGTGACAAACGGTTCCGGGTCAAGTAATCATCATGCCACTAATTAACAGCGGTGAAGAAATCATGGGGATTAACGACTTGCGTACGAACCGACAAGCACCCTTGCCGGAAAGTCCAACCTCACTTGTCGTATTCATCTGATATTGCTCCATCAGATTATCATTTGTTTTGGTCGGTGCCATATGGCCTTGCTGATTAGCGCTTCGGTTCCTTATCGCACACACGTTTTACTTGTACCTCATTCCCATATAAATGCACTGGCCCGATGAAAATGCATCGAAAGCACGCGTATGCTCGCCAAATGCTCTTCTGAACTGCTTCATGGGACTTTTCGTAACTCCAATGAAAAACTTAAAAATTGACTCAATCAATGAATTTTTTCAGTGTCAACAGTTTTTCTATCGCGGATTCCATTTGTTACCCGGAAGAAGGGAGAGGTTATAATTTCAGATAGACAGTAATTTGAGTAAAATATATTGCATACTTAACAATGGTAGATGGGTGCGCATTGATCGCGTTACGGAACTCACTCGTCCCGTCGCCCCCTACGCGCTCTCTCTCGAGCCCCTCCAGCAGCCGCACAGTGGCGCGTAATGTAGGCAGAATAGCACCGTCGACAAAGACTAGGGAAGACTGGAATGGCCATTTCTCACTTATTAGTCGTTGTCAGCCAGTCGTACCCAACCCCAGAAGTGTGGGACACTTCGGATTCGATCTCGTGACCTGCTGGTTAGAAGTTTAACACCTCTAACCACTGGGCCGCGGGCTCGTTGTCCTGTCGGTTGCGATTGGCGTTCACCGACCAGTCCTGAAAGCAGGGCGGAGTATGGCGTAGTCTTCTCTTGCCTTGGAACTCCGATCTAGAGTCTACGCATGCGGTTGCATAGTGACGAGTAAACAGAAATTGAAGCCGAATATCGGTAAAGACGAGGGAGCAGACGGTGGTCGCCTAGGTCACCCTTTCCGTCAGCGGGTAACAGACCATGCCCCAACTCCGATTATGAGGGTGTGAGTCCCTGCAATAATAAAAGGTTATTAGGTTCATTGCTCAGCGACCAGACAGCCCTGGCTGAACTGTCAGGTCATCCAGCCCTGTCTTCGTGACTTTGCTGACAGCAAACGACAAATACGTTAGATAGGGTCTTCAGGGGTCGCAGGGCCTTCTGCGGCGCTGTCTATTACCCTTAAATATGCTGAACTATATACTGAACTAGATTCATTCCCAAACGGTGACTGAAACACACTGTTTTCTCAATTTCATCCCCAGCCCCCGCTTGTTTTGCTACCCTGGCCATACTTCAAACCTCCAAAAGCGCAGCAGTGCTT